AGCCTAAGTGCCCATCGATCCACGAATGGATCAATAAATTGTGGTATATGTACACCATGGAATACTATGCAGCCATAAAGAAAGATGGAGACTTTACCTCCTTCATGTTTACATAAATGGAGCTGGAAAATGTTCTTCTTAGCAAAGTATCAAAAGAATGGAAGAAAAAGTATCCAATGTACACAGCCCTATTATGAAACTAATTTATAGCTTTCGTATGAAAGCTATAACCTAATTATAGACTAAGAATATGGGGAGAGGGAGGGGAGAGGAGGGGGGTGGATGGGTGGAGGGAGGATGATTGGAGGGATCACCTCTATGGTTTATCTTACAAGGGTACAAGTGAATCTTTCTAAAAGTAGAATATAAATGTCTTAACACAATAACTAAGAAAATGACATAAAGGCTATGTAAACCAGTTTGATGAAAATATTTCAAATTGTATATGAAAACACAACACTGTACCCCATGATTGCATTAATGTACACACTATCATTTAATAATAAAAAAAAGAAGTGAGCATTCTGCCTACTTCTCCACTCATCCCTCTCCCTTTGCCTAGTAAGAGGATATAGAAGTAGAGCACCTGGGTGGTGTCTGTGGCTCAGTGGGTAGGGTGCCAGCCCCATATACTGAGGGTGGGTGGTTCAAACCCAGCCCTGGTCAGCTAAAAAAACAGCAATGAAAATTGCAACAAAAAATAGCTGGGCATTGTGCCTGTAGTCCCAGCTACTTGGGAGGCTGAGGCAAGAGAATCACTTAAGCCCAAAAGTTGGAGGTTGCTGTAAGCTCTGATGCCATGGCACTCTACCAAGGGCAAAAAAGTGAGATTCTGTCTCAAAAATAAAAAAAGAAAAGAAAAAAGGTAGGGCACTTGTCTTGTAACACAAGACAGAAGTTGAGTGTTGAAGATGGCAGAGTGCAGAGCTGCCATGGAATAACCACTGTAGCCCTGAGCTCCGTATCCTCAAACTGTTAAGGAAATAAAAGTTAAGCAATTGTTTAAGTGACTGTTACTTTAGTCTTTATTATACACCACATTCAGCTTGCAGATATTAAGCTCACATGGAACAGTTGTCAAAATAGACTATAAGACATGTCTCAATTAATTCAAAAGGATTTAAATTCTAAAGAGTTTCCCATCAGACAAGAACACATGAAAAGTATTATACATCATGACCAAATGGGATTTATCCCTGGTATACAATACTGTTTTGCCATACGCAAATAAATCATTGGGATTCATCACATTAACAGAACAAAAGTTAAAAATCATGTGATCCACTCAACTGATGCAGAAAATTATTTGGCAAAGTTCAACATAGTTTTTTGATTAAAAAATACACAATAAAACTAAGAACTACTAATACAAAGACACCTAGAAGAGCTCCAAATATACAGAAATAAAAAAACACAGTTAAACCATATATCACACATGAAGTTTTAAAATATTTTTCACTGAATAAAAACGAAAGCCTAACATATCAAAAATTTGCAGGATTCATCCATGGCAGTACTTACAGGGAAATATATAGCTCTAATTTATAGTTAAATTTGAAGATTTATATGCATTCATTAGGAAAAGGAGATGGTTTAAAAATTCATTATTTAAGCTACCAAATCAACAAGTTAAGAAACCAAAAATTAAATTAAATACAAATAGAGTGGAATGAATTTGTAAGGGCGGAAACCAATGCAAAAGAAAACAGAAAAATGATAGAAATAATTTAAAAAGCCAAAAGTCAGTTCTTTGAAATGATAACTAGATACAGAGTTTAAGGAGCAGCCACAGTCCCTGAAACAGAGCTCTTAAACCTCTTGTAATTTCCTAAGAAATAGGCACATGAGGAAAATCTTTTGTTCTGATATTTGATTTTTCACTCCAGTTTATGACACACAATTCCTAAACCTTTGAAATTTCCTGAGTATCAGAAGCATGTGACTAAACTCCTAAATCCTTGGAATTCCTTGGGCCATAGTAGCATCTTCTGTTCTATTGAGGTGATTCTTGATCAGCTCCTATAGGCTCAGGAGGGGAGCTGTTTACTGCAGAAACAAACCATGAGATTAAGGGGTTAAAACATACATTTCCATCCCATCTCACCTTCAGGGAGGGGAAGAAAGTAAATGTTGAGTTGATACCAAGGGTCAATATTGTAAACAGTCATGCCTAAGTAATGAAGTGCCCATCAAAATCCAGAAAAACATGGATCCAGGGGCTTCTTAAATAGCTGAAAAATTGGGAGATTCCTGAGGTATGACATGCCCAAAGAGAGCTTAGAAGCTCCACCTTCCCTTCACCCCTACTGTGTTCTATACATCTTTTCCATCTTACTGGTCACCTGTATATTTTGTAATATCTTATATAATAAATGGATAGACGCAAGCAAAGTGCTTCTCTGAGTTCAATGAGCAAATTAATCAAACCCAAGGAGAGAGGTCACAGGACTCTTATTTATAGCTGGACCTGGTCAGAAGTACAGGCTTCTAGAATTGTGGGAAGATGGCTGACTTCAAGCAGCTTTTGCCGGAGGTTCACGCTCAAAGGGAGAGATACTGGACTGAAATGGATGGAAGCCACATGTAAGGAGATCCACACTGAGAGGACTATGTGAGGTACACATCATCCAGGCTGAATCAAGCAGCAGAAATAAGAAAGTGGAAGAAAAATAGCAGTTATGATCCCAGCTCCCAGAGTAAGAAAGACCCCATTCCTCCAAACAGGAGCTCTGTGGTAGGCAACCAGCTCACCATACAACAGAGTTCAAAAGTCTGCTCACCTTACTCTTCAAGAGAGCAGTCACTAATTCCCAGTCTTGCATTATTAAAGTCACACCACTGAACCTCAGCTCCATTCTATCTGGCACAAAAAGCCAAATATTTTTCCTGCAACCCTGAGTACCCAGATCACCCTTCCCCCACCCTCACTGCTGGAAGGATTGCCCTCTGTAGAGTCTGGAGTGTTTGACCAGCTCACTGAGAAAGAAGCTCAGGAAGTCTGCCAGCCTCCAAGCTGCAGCTTGAGAACAGTAACACAACGGTCCAAACTGGTGGGGAGATGGTGAACTACACATCTTCAACTCCTCAGGAATTCTCAGGCAGATCTATTTTCTGCCCTCCAGGACAACTTCTGAGCTCCACTGGGTGGGGAGGGTCAGTGCTTAAGTGACTTTGACTTTTGACTGAACTTTGGAGCTGCCCCCTCTGCTAGGCACAACTCTATGAGCTTGATTGGATGGGCAGGCAGATGTCGAAGTGACTTTGGACTAAACTTGGGCCCTCTGGCATCTGCCAAGTGAGGCTCTTTGAGCTTGATTGGGTGGGTGGGGCTGAGGTTTAAGTGACTTTGGGCTGAACTTTGGACCTCTGGCCTCCA